GGTGGGAGGTTGTGCTTGTGTTGTGAGCAGAACCGGTCATGAGCATAAGCGGGTCAAGCATAGGCTTACGGTCTTATATAGGTTTATGTATTTTAGCGACCGGTTTAAGGGATTATCTCTTGTTTGCCTGGTGATAAATTAATTTTCCATTGATCCTAAGTTTAGCAGTTCGAGTTTCGTCATTAATAATTTTTGCTTTTGGTCTTAAATATTTGGTTGTAAAAAAAATACATTGGGAGCAATCCTATTACACAACATAAGCGATTTTATTGATCTTGAGAACATGAGTGAGATTTATCTTAAAAGTTGAGTTGGTAGTTGAAGTTGTTTGAGAAATTCAGGCATGCGAGTTCAGTTAACCGAACCAATACAACATAAGTGATTTTATTGATCTTGAGAACAGGAGTGAGATTTATCTTAAAAGTTGAGTTGGTAGTTGAAGTTGTTTGAGAAATTCAGGCATGCGAGTTCAGTTAACCGAACCAAACGGAGCCGGTTATTTTAGTTTTCAGTTTTTTCGGTTATCAGACAATACTACGGAAATTAACCGAATAAATTATTTGTTCAGTTTGTTCAGTTTTTTGTTTATTTTTGTTAACAGAATTCTACCGAAACTAACCAATTTTTGTGTTTTTGTTTAAAATTAGAGTAAATCAGTTAATTTGGTTTGGCTAATTAAAGAAAAAAAACATAATTGGGCCTTTTAAAATAGTCCAAAATCGAAAACTATCAAAACATCGAAAACCCTATTAAAATGTGGAAAAAAATTGGACCTTTCTTGAAGTAACAAAAATGGGCCTCGTTTAACCCTTTTTAATGAGTCCGAGGCTAGTTTGCCACTAAATGGAGGAAATGAATCCGGCATGCCATTTTTTGATCTCAGTACCACTATAAATGTGATATTCCCAAATTACCCTTAATGAAATAGCAGACGATTGGTACAACTAAGAGATAATAGTACAACTGGTACAAATAAGGGATTATAGGAAAACTTGTACAAATAGTGTAACTGAGAGATAATTGGACAACTGGTACAAATTGTATTACTGAAAGATAATAGTACAATTGATACAATTGGCATAACTCACATATAAATAGGTACAACGGGAAAACGGCCTTTTTCAACCTCAACTATTTTCTGGCGGGTTTTTTCAACCCAAACTATGACTCCCAGTCGATTTCAACCCAAACCCATAAATAATTTAAAATCAGAACCTGAACTAATGCAAATGAGCCGATTTCAACACGTCGCGAAACGGTGTTAGTTTGGAATTTAACGGTTGCTCAACCTTGGGTAATTCTCTCTCTACAGCATTCAACAAACCCTGAAAATAAAATCAAATAACATTGAGAACCATTAATTTTCGAACTAACACTGTTTCGCGTCGTGTTGAAATCGACTCATTTGCATTAGTTCAGGGTTCGATTTTGAATTATTTTGGGGTTTGGATTAAAATCGACTGGGGATCATAGTTTGGGTTGGAAAAACCGCTAGCAAATAGTTGAGGTTGAAAAAGACCGTTTTCCCCTAGGTACAATTGGTACAAATAGTTAGGGACAACTGAAGCAAAGCAATTGCAATTCTAAACCGTAGCACCTTCACACTCAATAATTTGTCTCTTCTTACTTTTTTCACCGTCGTCGTTGCCGATTATCCGCCGTCACCCTTCCTCGTCGAAGTTTGTGAACCGTCTCTTCTTACCCGTGCATTACAAAGCCGATTTTGGAGAGATCTAGATCGAGATTATTGTTGGATCTCTGATTTGCGAATCTGGGCATAAACTATTGTGATAGAAACAAAGACAAGGACAAGATCGATCAAAAGAGCAAAGAGAGAGAAGAGAGATCCATGAAAAAGAAGAGATCTATGGTTAATGATGATGGAGAAGAAGAGATTTGGGATCAAAGATTCAAAAATTCCAGAAGAAAAGATCTAGGGCATTGATGATGATGGTGGAGAAGAAGAGGAGAAGAAAAAATCCAGAAGAAAAAGAAGCGTGAAAATTATGTGGAGAAGAAATATGTGGCTGGGTTAGCAAAAGAAATAGCAAGGATACGTAATTTATGGTTTAGGTTAAGGGTTTTTGGACTTTTACCATATATTTTGATTTTTAAAAAATGAAAAATAAAATTAAAATATAAGGGTGGCATATACGATTACTTTTATGGAGAAAGTGGCATTCTAACCATTGTTTCCTTTTTAATATATGTGTATCTCTTTTTTTGTCGAGACAATGAACACAAGTTGAAATAGTGAAGACCACGGTGACGGCTCGACAACGATGAACAAGACGGCTGCGGATGAAGAGACGAGGATTTGTGGTTCGTCGGATTAGCTAGGATTCTTTGGATATCAAAATTCTGAACTTCATTATTCTTTGGGAAATATTAAGAAATTTAGATAGTATTGGAAACCTCCGCGATAAATAGAGAGCTTCTCTCATCGCTTAGAGCATAATTGGGTATTTTCGGTTCCAATCTTATGCAGTAAGTAGTAACATGCTTTACACAGAATTTTTGATGATGAGGGAGTCTCTTCTTTAAGTGTAAGGTTTTTGTTTGACCATTCTTTTGTCCCTAATTCTTTTTTGTCTTTTTGGTAAATAAGTATAGTTATCTCTTAATACTAATCTATGTCCACCTTATGGTTCCTTTTCAGCTAATATTTTCATGTTCAGATTGAAAAAGAAAACAATATAATATAACCCGTATGTAGTCGCAAAAAAAACACAAAGTAACAGGTCCGATCAGTAACACAAAACTGTACAATTTTTTTTAGCTCTTACCTGGAGTAATAAACTTTTACCGAATAGTGTAAAACTATAAAAAAAAAGTGGTACATGAAAACTGTACAAGAAAACTGATAATAAAACTTTTAATAACGTTTTTGATATGATTTTTGTGATTGGTAACTGTCAAAGCGATACATCCCATACTATATATGTTATATATGTATGGAGTTACCATCAAGAGTATTATGACTATCTATGCTCAGACAACCAAATAATTAAGTATGTATGCATGCTTTTTTTTTAATTAAGTGAATAAGAGAAAGATTGATGTTTTGACAGTTTTACCCTTTTCTTCTACATCTAATTATTTGTCTTTCTCTTTCATGTTTTATGGATCTTCAACATTATTTCCAGAGATTTTTCGTTGTTATTTCCAATCACCATCTCTCTTCCAAACCCTCCTCTTTCTTTGTTGTCACCTCTATTTCTTCACAAACTAAATCTATCTCTTCATTTGGCTCATCAACTTTATCGTTTTTATATGCAACACACAATCATCACTAAGTAAATTACAAAAATAGAGAGCTTGAAAAGAGATACAAAGATAAGAAAAGGATAGAGAGTACTTACACAAGTTTAGAATTGATTAAACTTTTAATTTGAAGAATTTGGGGATGAAAATTATGGAAAGGACGAAGAGAAAGAGGTGGGAAAAGAAGAATTTTGGGATGGAGTTGCAGGTGACAATGGAAGAAGAAGAAACAAATTTTGGGAGACATGATGACGGAGGAGGATACTTGAGAAGAGAAGAAGATTTTTTTTTTAACGTCCACGATAACACATAAGTTAACTCTGATAAACAAATTATCATGATAAATAAATATGCTAATGTATAAGTTAGCGGTAATAAATAAATTATTAAAATAAATAAACATGTTATTATATAAGTTAGTTGATAACAATCATATGATAAATATTTTAGTATGATAAATATTTTAGTACGATAAATATAAGTTAACCATATAACTTTTAAAGTTACCGTGATACAATATGAATTATATTAATAATTAAATAAATAATCATTAAAATCACTATCTTTTTATTGCCTCTCCTGATGAATAATGTTTTCGATGTTGGTTGAACAATGTTTTTACTTTTTAGTTATCACGATACAATTCGACTTACATTGTTAATAAAATAGATAACCACAAAAATTATTGTTTTCTTATTCGTTTCGATGATGAACAGTGTTTCTGACGATAATAATAATGTTATTTTTACTGTTAGAACTACACTGTTTATCCTGTTATTATTTTTGTTAACGCTCACAAATAACTGAGGGTAGTTTTAGTATTAATTGGATCAAAGGAAAAAGAACTAATAAAAAAATATGCATGTATAGATTTTTAATTTTTCAGTCCTCTATGCATATCAATTAATATAGCCCTACCATCAAACCCAACACTTTTTTACAAAAAGGAATCTCTAAGCTTGTGTAAGTGATTAAATAATTAAGAAAAGAAAAGAGCCTGAAAATAAATACAAATAAGAAAGCAGCTTTTGTAAGTGCACTCCAACCATGTACCAACTACCAAGTACCAATCATTCGAAAGTCCAAGTTTATGGGTCTTATTCAACTTTTTTTATTAGTTACCAAATATTATGAATTATGAAGTAATTGTAAATGAATAATGATCGTTTACTATAAATTTTAATACATGAATCATATTATAATAAGCAAAGGCTATTTTGGTTTAGTCCAAAGAACCGTGTGTCTTTTTTCGTAATTCATATACATAATAGTCCGACGATTCTTGTTTTATTGTTTGTCGCGAACACAAGTTACAACAACTCACTCCAACTCCAAGAACATAACCTTTAAAACAAATCAAAAAATACTTGCAAAGAAAAATCACAAGATGTGGCAGTAAAATTTGACTTAATTAACGATTATCAAGTAGGTTATTTTCTTTTTCTAATTAACCAAAAACATTTGTGCTTGTACCCAAAATCTCTCGGACCAAAAACCAAATGAGATTAATCTAGTCTCTTTTCTGTCTTCGGTGTTCGAACTTGGAATCTCCCAAACTCTTTTAATTTAGAAACCATTAGATTCCTAATAATTGTACAAACATTTGATTTTGGCTTAAGCATTGAACCCTGTAGTACGTATGTAGAGAGGCGACCAAAAGGCAAAGCCGACCTCCACCACGTAGTTTGCCATTATATAAAGATTTAACACACTTTTAAAGTCTTGACATCATTCATTCACACAAAGACATGACTTTTTCTATTTCCTCCGGCCTTCTTCCTCTCCTCCTCCTCCTCTTCCTCTTCTCCTCCGCCGATACTCTGACTTCACCATCCGACGTGTCAGCTTTAAAAGCTTTCAAAGCCACCGTGAAACCAAACTCAATCCCACCGTGGTCTTGTCTTGCAAGCTGGGACTTTACTGTCTCCGACCCATGTGCTTCACCACGTCGAACACATTTTACTTGCGGCATCACTTGCTCGTCCGACTCCACACGTGTGACCCAACTCACTCTCGACCCGGCCGGGTACACGGGTCGTCTCACGCCTCTTATCTCCGGCCTCACAGAGCTTCTCACGCTCGATCTCGCCGAGAACAACTTCTACGGTCTAATTCCATCCTCCATCTCCTCCCTCCACAGCCTCAAAACCTTGATTCTCCGGTCCAACTCGCTTTCCGGGTCATTACCCGACTCAGTAACTCGACTCAACTCACTCGAATCCATTGACATATCTCACAACTCACTCACCGGGTCACTTCCCAAAACAATGAACTCGCTCTCCAATCTCCGACAGCTCGATCTTAGCTACAACAAACTCACCGGAGCCATCCCAAAGCTTCCGAGAAACCTCATCGACTTAGCTTTAAAGGCGAATACTTTATCAGGACCCATCTCAAAAGACTCATTCACCGAGTCAACTCAGCTAGAAATCGTCGAACTCGCTGAGAACTCATTCACCGGAACTCTCGGAGCTTGGTTCTTCTTACTCGAATCAATCCAACAAGTAGATCTAGCGAACAACACTCTCACAGGCATCGAAGTCCTCCCTCCAAAACTCGCCGGAGAAAACAACCTAGTAGCTGTAGAGCTAGGATTCAACCAAATCAGAGGAAACGCTCCGGCGAGTTTCGCGACGTACCCGAGACTTTCGTCACTGTCTATGAGATACAACATGCTTCACGGTGTGATTCCGTCGGAATACGAACGGAGCAAGACGTTGAGACGGCTTTACTTAGACGGAAACTTCTTGACGGGAAAACCTCCGGCGAGATTTGTGAAACCAGACGCAGAAGTTATGGGAAGTTTGGGGAATAATTGTCTACGGGGATGTCCAGGGAAAGCTAAGATGTGTGCTCCGTCACAGAAACCATTTTACATTTGTAAGCAAGCTTATGGTGGAAAACCAAAGTCTTAGTTTTGTCGGTGTCGGTGACTTTTTGTGTCAGTGATTTTGTAAAATAATGCTTTTAGTCTTGTTTTAAGGGAAAAATGTTGTTTAATAGCCCAACTTTTAAAAAATGGCCATTTTAACTTCAAATTCTGTAAATGGCTATTTTATATGTGAACAAAAAGTTGACCAGCCATTTGAACCAAATAAATGTGTTGATCAGGCCAAATCGACACACCGTTAACACTTGCTAACAGAACCGCTAACATCCGTTAGCAGCCGTTAAGGA